AAATAATACAAATATATATGATTTTGTTGTAATTAAGGCTGCAACATAGGAAAATTTTCTAAGACATACAAATATTTCACAGGCTTTCCATGACAATTAAAATTTGTGTAAGCGTCAAAAACTTTCACTAGATGGCAGTACTATAGTACAAATGGCATACTTGTGAAAGTATTCTGAGCAGAAATATGTAATTTTATGTTCTTTGAATTATTGACTGTTAATTTAGATTATCCTGGATTTTCCTTTAATTTTCCAGACGACATTGTTTGTGTAAAGAACCTGAAAATACACACATTTTAATGTTTTAAATCTACAGCGTATAACATATCAGCAAAATGTGTTTATCATTCTACACATTATATTTGTTTTGTAAGTGTAAAGACTTTTATTCAAATCAAACCAATTTACCTTTCATTTACATTTTTTCTCAAGTAAGTTTGGTTGTTCTCTTTTATTAATAAAGAGAGACGAAAGTTTTAGCAAAATAAATGAGATATTATTTAAATGAAAAAAAGAATGAACAATGTGAGACAAACATACAAACATACTCATACCCTTATAATTTACTATAGTAATATAGTAAATTAATATGATATACCTATATAATATAGTAAATTGTCAGTGAGTTATGAGGGTTGAAGCAGATGTGTCTCTGCAGGGGAGTCAGGGRGGTAATGACTGGGGCTGCGATGATTACTCAACATAATTGAAGACGACCAGTGAATAAAGCGTAAAACACTAAGTGTCAGTACTCCCCTTAATGTCAGAAACATACAAACTGTTTTTATATASATCTGGAGTTGCACAGAAATGACAAAGAACAAAGCCAATTCTAAAAAAATCAAATCCACAAAAGTCAAATTCATCACTTTTTGTGTCTTGGAGGGCATATTACCTTCTTTTTACTTGGTTACATTTACTTGAGTAACTTATTGGAAAAATTGACTTTTAAAAATAGTTTTACTCCATCCTTTTTACTTTTAGTTAAGTAATATTACTATGAAGTATCAGTAATCTTCTTTGAGTAAAACATTTGGATACAGTCTTCACTAAATGATAAACAAACATGTTTTAAATAAATCTGCACCTGATACAGACACAGTTTATTCTAATGAGAATTCTTGTTTGAACTCAGGATTTGTTGATCTGATGTCAGTGTCTGCTGAGCCTGTTGAGACATTTGAAGGTGAAAAAGAAATAGTAAACACTAAGTTGACACTGGATATACTTGTTCTACTTATACATTGCCTTTTGAATTAGTTTAATACATTTTATATTTAAAACAATTTTGGAAAAGTGCTTATTTTGTTATTTTGTAATTATGTTATTTTTTAGAATACATATTTATCATTTTAGTCTTTAAAATACCAAACTTGAATATATCTATACTTTTTGTCTGTCTGTTGACATCATTTGTGAATATTAAGTCAGATGTTCAGGGGTGTCAAAMTCRTTTTCACCRARGGCCACATGAGAGTTATGGTGGCCCTCGAAGGGCCACTTAATGAACTTTGATGTTTCTTGTTTAACTTTGACTAAACAGAGTTTTAACACGTCCTCTTTTAAACACTGATATGAACTAAGTGTACGGCTGACTAAATCTGAAATAAATACAGAAATATTATTTATTTTATGTTTGATGGTGACTTTAAGCAGCTTATTTTCAGTCAGGGACAGGAATTTATTAAATTTATTTTTATTTCATTTAAAATAAATTATTTCATTTGTTTTTATTAAATTTATTTTGTTGCATTTAATCATAAATGTAAAGTTTACCATTGGTAAAAGAAACAAATATCATGCTAAGTAAAAAAAAATTTTTTTGACGGGGTGTACCCCCCCTGGCGGGCCACACGGGAGTCATGTGGCCCGTGGGCCTTGTGTTTGACACGTGTTCTACTCACTTAGTCAGTACTTGGGAAGCCTTTTTACCAAATACTTTTTTTCCCTTTAACTTGAGTAATTTATTGGAGGGATACTTCTTACTTTACTTGAGAAAAAAATATATATGCTGAATAGTACTATTCCTACACACACCAGTGTGCATGTGGGTAAATCATGCTTCATATTTTCTGCCATTTTAGTTCTTTCCTTCATGTCTATTTTCATAGTTTATTGTTGTGTTCCCCCTCCTGTATGTTTCCTTTCATGATCTGTGCTTGTTTTTCTGTTCAGGTCTTGTCATCTGCTGTTTGTCTCCTGAATTAATTATTGCTCAAAAGGTATTGCCACTGGTTTACTGGTTTGTTCATTATTTAGTTTCTTAGTTTATTCTTCATACATTTCTCTTCAATTTTCTTAGCTTAGTGTTGACCTTGGTTTATTATGTTCACTTTAGTTTTTCTCTCATTATTAATCTGTCTCCAGCTGTTTTTATTTTAATCACTGTAATGAGTAATTTCAATCGCCAGCGGTACCTCATCATCCTCATGTGTGTCAACAGATCTGCCACACATTTTTTACTGTTCAGCACAAGATTTCCTGTTTTCATGCCTTTTTTTCATCTTCTTTTTTCCGTTCTGTGTCCTGTTTTTCTGGTSCTTCAGTCTGTGTGCAAGAAGACGAGTACGCTGCTTATGGGCCAACATATATTGTAATACATCTGAGTAAGCTTTTAAGTAAGAGAATCAAATTCTTATGTTTTATGGGTTATAATTTTAATTTGCTGTGAGAACATCACTTTTTACAGGACAACATGGTGACATCCACAGGTGTCAGTAATGAGATGAGCTGTGTRTTGGAGCTGGAACAGGAGRTGTGCCCACATGAAGCTTAGATGGACGTTTTGACAGTAATAATTGTTGACTYATCGACTAGTTGAAAAAAGAATCGCAGATTAGTTGACTGTCAAAATAGTCATCAGTTGCAGCCCTAGTTATGATGACACCCACAATAATTTGATCCACTATAACTCCCACAATAAAATTACACCATTTGTTCTATTACAACAGAACATGTACACAGCTGCAACCCTTTTGTTATTTTTAGGAAACTTTGACCTGATTTCAAAATTTACGTTGTCTTAAATGTACGTTTAAGTATAGTTGCTGAAAATGACTTGCAGGGTTTTAGTCTGCTCTTGTCACATTATGGCTGTATTTGTTGAATCATGTGTTGTAATTTTCCTAGCCAAATTGTAATGCACCATGTAAATACATACTCTTGGAAAATGGAGAAGTTTAGGTATTGGTAATACAGACTAAAAATATAAAATATTTGTTACTTTTGTAAAATAATGGGGGGTGGGATAAGCCTTTTTTAATTGTTGAACTGACATGGAACACAAACGGTAGATGACCTAAATAGAAAAATGGTGGACCTAAAGTTATGCCGTTGATGTGGGTGCTTCACCTCGCCCACCCAAAGTTTTATGTAACAGTTAGGAGATTCAAAACTGCACCCTTCTGATCATAAATCTGCTTTCTACGTAATAATAAATGTCATGTTCCAGTGGCACATTTGTTGTTAGAATGTTCTGGTTTACCAACATTTAACATGGAGCTTGTTCCACAGTTTTTGCTCATTATGCAACCAAAGTTGCTCAAAGGTCAGCAGCAACCAGAATCCCTGATCTTCCCATGCAAGATGTACTGCAGCTGCCACATCTGGGGTCTACCCTACAAGGCAAGACCAAATGCAAAGATGCCTCTGACCCAGTCTGGCACATAATAACAGGATGTAATATGCAGGCAAGTAAAGCATATGTGACCCATCATATCGAAATGAGGATTAAGTCAAATTTAGTCAAAATGACCTAATTGCATTTTCAGATTCTTGGCTTTAAAAGCTACATTTTGATACCTGGGTCATTCTGTTATCATAATTAAATCCATATATATGACTTAATTTGTCTTGTTGGTTACAATAATGCATAAATATTTGGTCTGAATCCTAATTTTGTCATTTTAATGAGGAATTTTTGATGTCCTTATAAAGAGGAAACCTTAAAGTATATTTGAATATTGAGATTTCCCAGCTAAAAAGAAACAAAACTTTGCTAGCTCACAGGGAAAATTTCAAAATTTTAAGGCATTTTCCTCAAGATCAGGTTTTTTATTGCCACTGCTCAAACAAATGCTTCAAAATTTAGTTTTATGATTGTATTTCAGACAGTTCATTCAAATGATACATTGATAAGGCATTTATTCATTATATTTTGACAAAATGCAA